ACCCCCGCCTCTGTTCGTACATATTTACTGACACAAACATTTGTATCATCTGTTGTAGACCCAAATACATTAAATAAAATAAGAACTCATTCTCAAAAAGATAAACGCCATTCTTAAAATGTATAAACGAACAATAGTTTGATTAATATTGATTAGAGTGCACAATAGAAATAAAATAATTGAGAGAAGAAAAAGAGATATGTTATCTATCAAAACCCAGTTAGATTAACATTCATTGGATTGCACACTGTGTTTGTTTGTGTGGATATGTAGCAAATTAACATGTTAAATAGCACTTAATGACTGACTGAATGGAAATGACAATAAATGAAAATGTAAAACGAAAAAGCGATCATGAAAATGTTTCCAATAAATGAATAAAATAATTTTTGACCACTTTGTTGTTCAGATATATCACATATTTGTAACTGAATGATGCATTCATTGAAACAAAACACAGTATAAACTGAGGAGTGAGCCCCGTGAGTTTCATGTGTTTTCTTCACTCCGCTGGGAAATTGCTCTCATGTCAAGAAGCATCAGATCAGTGCATGCGCTGCATCGTCCAATCAGTGAGCAGTAAGGGGGCGGGGAGAGTATCTGAGGATTTCACCGGAGGATGGTCTGGTGGTTCCTCGATTATCGCTCCTCCATTATCGCTCCTCGCTCCTCGGTCCTCCGGCAGAAATAAGAGCCATGGGACGCTACTCAAGATGGCGCAGACAAATCAACTTCCGGTGATACCGAGGACCGACGACAGAGGAAATGAAAATAGTCGACCTGAGACACAGCCATGGTACTGACACCGTGGCCGTTTCTCAATCGCGAGGATGCTGGCTTGGTAGCACAGCCGAGCCGAGCATCTTGCTTCAGAAGCAAGGCAAGAATACTTCCTGGCATTCGGAAAACGAAGAGTGGAACAGGCTAGCAAGTGTGCAGGTGTGCGTCATATGAGAGGCCCCGCTTACATCTTCCGCCACAGATTTGGGGAAATTGGTCCATGCGCAAAGCATTGTCGGGATTTTAAGGACGCGAAGTCCCATGTGCAGCCTCGAAATTTCCCCCAAACCAAGGACGCGGCCTCGGTGGAATTCCAAGTATGCTGGAGATTGGAACAGTCCTTCGGCGGCACTCGATGGCGTAGCATCCTTGAAATATTGGCTTGGAAGCCAATATCCTCGCGATTGAGAAACGGCCCGTAGCGACGAGACGCCGGGTGTTTCTCAATCGCGAGTACGCTTGCTTGATAGCACATGTCTGCCGAGCATCTTGCTTCAGAAGCGAGTCAAGAATACTTCCTGGCATTCGGAAAACGAAGAGTGGAACACGCTAGCAAGTGTGCAGGTGTGCGTCATATGAGAGGCCCCGCCTTACATCTTCCGCCACAGATTTGGGGAAATTGGTCTGTGCGCAAAGCATTGTGGGGATTTTAAGATCGTGGAGTCTACTCATGTGCAGCCTCGATATTTCTCCAAACGGAGTACGCCGGGCTCGGTAGATTTCCAAGTATACTGGAGATTGGAACAGTACTTCGGCGGCACTCGATGACGTAGTATGCTTGAAATAGTGGCTCTGAAGCAGCTTTACTCGCGATTGAGAAACACCCTGAGAAACGGCCCGTAGCGACGAGACGCCACCTCGATCCTGGTTAGAAAGAGCTGGGAACTTCACTTCCGGTGCGGTTTGAGGACGTCAAAATAAAAGCGTGAAGGATTTCTTCTTTTTGGTTTTAACATCCGGACGTTGCATTACCACCTACTACTGGATACATATTAAAAACCACCCTTTCCAAAAAAACTATTATAACTAACAGAAAATACTCATATAAAAAAAGGGAAAATAAATAAACATCATTGAGCTAAACAGGTCGCAGGTACACAAATCAAATATCTGTATAGCAATTACAAATGTTTTGCATATCTGAAGCTGATGTTCTTACAGGATTCGTGCTGTTCGGAGTTTGCATCCTCGTGGTTGACTTGCACAAGTCCTGCATTCAAGATGTTACTGAAGTAAAAGTACAAAACTTTTGGCATCAAAATATAATTAAAGTTCCAAAAGTAAAAGTACTCAATATGCAGATCGACCCATTTCAGAATAATATATATTATATGTTTTGATTATAATCATTGATGCATTAATGTGTTTATCACATTTAAATGCTGGACTTATTTGTATTGTGTTGATCATTTCTACACACTGTGGTTTTACTATTTTTATTTAAGTTAAAGTGCTGAATACTTTGTCCTTAAGTCGTCAAATTATATTTTGTAAAAGTAAAAGTATTTGAAAAAAAATTATATTCAGAAAATATATGTTATATTTTAAAATTATAAATCTTAATCCATTAATGCTCAAATGTTGCCTCGGATAGGAAAACAACTTTACCTTTATATACTGCAGGGTAGCTTGTACATTTCTCATAGGGGCCAATAAAGCTCTAATACATGAACAATTAACAAAAACAGTACAGCTATAGCCTACGATCTCAAAATTACATCACTCTGTCCGTCCCCTCAGTACGCACGGTGCTTGGGAAAAAAGCCATATCATACTCTGCCCCCTCGACCTGGAAAACACTTCAGCAGGAACTTAAGCTGACCAGTTTGATACCCATCACGGATTTTAAACTAATTTTAAAAAAGCTGGAGAAATCATCTGTGGGTGTTTGCACCTGCTATATCTGACTACTGTATATGGATTTCAATTACTACTTCTTTTTTTTAACGATGTTGTATTTTATTGTTGCCTCTGTGTTTAGTGTCCTGTCTGTCTGTAACTTTGTGTGGTAGTGTTACCACTGACAGGTCTCTCTTGCAAATGAGACCTTGTGTCTCAATGAAATTTTACACCTGTATAAATAAAGGCTAAATAAAAAAATAAAAAAATAATTATTTGAATATATTTTGTAAGTATAAACTAGCAGGAAAAGTAAATACTCAAGTAAATTATCTACAAATTGTTCAATAACTGAGTAAATGTACTCAGTTACTATCCACCACCACTGCTTTAGGATATAAACAGTTGTTATGAAATTGTTCAGTAGGTGTCATGAAGTGGGCGTGATATCTATTAATAAATGGGGAAGAAGACTAAGAGGGAAGAAGCCCGTCACATACACTTTTTTTTTGTTTATACCTTTAATTTTCTTGAAACTAAGGCAAAGCACAATTCAGCATCAAAGAGTACAAGTTATTTTATCCAGAAAAAATGTCAACAAAAACCGTTGCACAGTTTTAAGAATAATATACTGAAATCAAACAGCTTCTTAAGATAAGCACAACATAAAATGTCCACAAAGGGAAACAGCATGTGGGACGTTCAATCCTTAAGAAGAGGGCACTCTGTTGATTTAAAATGGCATAACGGGTGCCATAAAACAAACAAATCTTCTTTGAATAGTGGCATTAATAATATTTTTGAACTTACTGGAATGTATTCAACATCAGCAAGAAAGCTTTCTGCAGCATCAGTGTTAAATCTCAGGAGCTGCAGCGCTCTCTAGTGGACAGTTGTGACACCAGAGAGAGAAATGGCAGTACAGAGCTGCAGGGAAATGACCTTAAAAATAGAAATAGAACTTATCTATAAATGCTGAGACACCAGTCCTAAACACATCATTTCTAGAGACAATGCTTTAATTACAGTTACAGTGGAAGAGCCTAAAGAACACCAAACTGCACTGAAGTCACAGCAAGAAAAAAAGACAGAAAAATACTTTGCTGCTATCTCCATACTCTCTCCTATATGGCAATCATTTAAATATTCCTCTAAACAAAAATACTGAAGAACACCGTTTCTAAACATCTTCTTAAATGTACAATAAAGTCACTTTGAAAAGGTTTTCTCACAGTAAATAAATAAATACTTTAAGAAGTTAAGAAAAGTTAATGAAATGATGGGGAGGTGTGTTGCGCAGTGGATAGAGCCTTGGTGTTGGGATCAGGGGGTCACAGGTTCAAACCCCACTGCAGTCATCATGTCGTTGTGTCCCTGGGCAAGACACTTCACCCCAAATTGCTCCTGTGGGGATTGTCCACAGTATTGAGTATGTAAGTTGCTTTGGATAAAAGCGTCTAACAAGTAACATGTAATGTAATGTAATGATGGAGTGACAGTCGAAAAGGGGGAAAAATTAAGAGTCTCTACATTCATTATGTCTTTTAGAAATTAATTGCCATAATGAAGCAAATGTTGTGTTACAAACAAGTGAGTAAATTGCTTAAAAATATACAGCTTTTTCTGAGGACAGAACCCAATAAAATGGATATTTAAAATGGCAAATTATTTCCAAAATGATTACGTGAAGCAGTCACAGATAATAGCACAAACTTTTTTTTTAAGAATAGCATTTAGATACTTAAATTCACATTTCTGCTACACTGACTGCTGTATGATTGTTCATATTGCTGTTTTGTCCTTTACAAATAAACACAGCATTTTTATAGCCAGGGTTACATTTACACGTAAGTTACTTAATTTGGCTTTCACTGACGGGGATAAATTATATATGTTCTGATTGGATGGAAACTAAAGGATGAATCTGAAGAGACATGATGGACAACCTGATGTGATTGGATGATTATGGTGACATATAAGAGCCTTTATCTTTATCCAACCAGAGTTGGACCCACGTTACGGCACGTACACTGAATACAGATGTTTGTTCCCAAAATAACCCAGAAAGATGTGACCATTTGTTGATGTACTTAGCAATATTACTTTGTACCAGTTTTTGGCCTGGAGGTTTGAAGCACAAGCCAAAACTGCTTTACCTTTCTTTAACAATATCAACATAAAGTCATACGGACATTTCTAAAATGCAAGTAAATATGTTGTACATCAGTTGCTCTTTAGTTAGTTACGCCTAATTTAAACTTCAAAGGGCTAAATGCCAGTGAGGCTATTGATTTAGCACAATAAAAAGATGCAAGAAATTCCAATTTGTTCCCCCTTTTTACCTGGGGTGCTTCCCCTAAAGAAAACAAAACAAAATGAACTCAACATTAGAGAATCTTTTATATTCGAACCACCAAATGAAGCGAACATTTGCCACTGGTATAGATATCAAAGGGTCCTTTCTGTAAAACATCTTGAATTGGCAATCAGGTCACATCTGGCACAGCTGCCGTCACACACACAGGTCCACCAGCGATAAACATATTCTGTATATAATCTGTATTTCTGCCCTGAAGCTGCTAACATTACAACATAAAGAAGCAGATATTGGCAGTTTAGAAACCATTATTGTTTCTACTAATGTAACAAACAGATGCAACAATCCCACCACCTTACAAAACATGTGGTAAAACAGCTATTTGTCAGAGATTAAAACTATGTAACAGAGAATAAGCCAATTAAAGAAAATCATGATTGTATTCTGAGAGCTTTTCTGCAAATTATTGACCATTATTCTGAGAGGGTGCTGCTGTCAGTCGCACTGGCCTTCAAAATAAAACACTATTCTTGTATGGAGGATTGTATCTGTAACTGATCCTGTCAAACACTTCAGGGTAACTTAGCTATTCTTCTCAGGACATTATTTTGTGTTAATACATGATGAAATTATGTCAATGTCTCTTTTATGAAATGATGAATGGCACCAAAAACACAGGAAAAACAGAAACAAACTCACATATAAATGCACGTGGCGAATGGCAAAGGTGAATTGAGTCTGAATAAAACACGACATTTAGATATCATAGAACAAATATAAAAAACATCTATGTATAAATATAAACAATCACGACACAGAAACTTAAAATCTGTGGAGGAGGAGGGGGGGGGGGGGGGGGGTAACAATACAGTACAGTGAGTGTTGAGAGCAGTGCATTAAAACTGAAAAACACACATTAATAGGTATATAGAGGATATCCAGGTAGAAATGTCTATCTGACCAACAGTGTTAATACAAGTCGTCTATAACGGAAATGTGTAACAGTACGGTAACTCACAAACACTGGACTCCCAGACCAAATGACGTGGAATGAACAAAAGCTGACGTTTTTTGTCGTTTTTCTTTTTTCTCTGATGTGTTTTTCGCTCACACACAAATCACTGCCAGTGTCCCGGGTCAGCAGGGGGTCCTCGGGGTGCTACCCTCCTCTCTCTTCTCCACCTCGGGGTGAGCCACAGTGGGTGAGGGGGGGGGGGGTGTCTAGGCCATGACGTCCTCCAGCGCCGGCAGGAAACCCTTCTCCGTCAGGTGAGCCTTCAGGGAGTTGAAGATGTGGAGCTGCTGGTCGATGCGCAGAGCCAGGAGCTGCTGGATCACCTTGCTGGGGTTCGGGCCCCTGAGAGGAGAGGGAAGATAATTAGGGAGGGAAATTAGGAAGATTATAACATCAAATCTCACCATCGATCCAAAATAAATTAATCGGTGGTAAAAGAATAAGAAACAAAAATATAGACATGTTAAATTGGAGGGCTCATTTTCTGAGGGTTCAAGCTGGAACCACGTGCTTTATCTGCTTTGAGTTCATTTATAAAAAGTGCTGGAGCTTGACTACATAGCATTTTTACAGCCTGATCTATATAGTAAACTCAATATGAAGTTACATTTAAATCTTTTTTAAGTAAAGATATTGACCAATACTGAAAAGTCTCAAACAAAATTCAGTTTTCATACTTTAGTTTCATGTTTGTATATTTATTCAGTGTCAGAGGAAGACATAAAACAACTCAAGAGACAGAGATAACTCTTTAATGGTTATTAGCAAGCTAGCTAGTTTAAAGTTCAACCAACAGTTTGTTTTCTTCAAGAAATCAAATGTTTCGTCTAACAGTCAGGAATAAAATAAACAGTGGCGAACCGTCAGGGCCTTCAAGGTATTCAGAGAATACCCTGGAACACTCAAAGAAAACAAACAAAAAATCGATTTAATTATATAAATAAAATGTAATAAAATGTATATAAAATGAATAAATTAGATCCGTATCTGTGTTGTTTGTCCTTCTCGGTCCATGCACTATGCATTTCAGTGGTTTTTTGTTAGAAAAGAAAGCAACCAATCAGATCTTGTTCTGGGTCTCTGGGTAGAATATCCTTCAACCAATGTATTCTATATCCTTGATAGAATGCCCTGGCCGTTACACTGAATGAGAGCATACATTTGGATTGACAGTTTGATTAACCAATCATATATTGATTTGTAGCCACTGGGCGTATTCTTTCAGAGTTTCCCTCGGTTCCAGGGTACTCTAGAACAGTGGTTCTATTTCGTATATGGCTTCGCCCTCTAAGGCTATCGCTATTGGGTAATCCCCCTGCGCACCCGCGCAGCACTGAAAACACCTGTAGTCCACGCCCGCCCGCAAGGTGGGCCCCACCCTCGGGCTCCCTTCCGGTATAAATAGGAAGGAGACCCGACAATCTGCTCCCTCTTTTTCTTCAGCACCCCGTTACTGAAGCACTGAGACATAATATATCCGAGAACCATGAGCAACAATTGTGTCAGAGATTGTCCCTCATGTGGATCGGGCTATATCATGAGTTATGATCAGCACACTGAATGCGAATCCTGCCTGGGGCCAGAGCACGCGTACGCGGCTCTCAGCCAGCAGGTCGCATGCCAGCACTGTGCCCGTCTCCCCTCGGCCGACAGGAAGCGTAGAGCGGACGCTCTCGCTGCTGCGACCGAGGAGGACGTTTCGTGCCCCTGGAGCCGACTCGTGCCCCTGGAGCCGACTCGTGCCCCTGGAGCCGAGTGCCGGGCAGGAGTTGGACGACTCCTACCCCATCTCCCTCCACGGTTCACCGGATGGTTCTCCCCTCCCTCCTCTCCCCCGGACGGGGGAGACAGAGTCGGAGCAGGGTGTCGACTTGGCCGAGCACGCGGTTCCCTTCTCCGTCACCACGGCGCTGCCGGCGATAGGTGGCATCCTGCTGGAACTGCCGGGGATCATTTGCAAGGCGGCCGCCTGCAGAGGTCTCCCCGTTCCCCCAGCTCAGGAGAGGAGTGCTCCGGACGACATGACCGGAGTTTTTTCGCGGGTGCAGATGGTCAGGAGTGACCCGATCTGGCCACGCTTCCCCGCCATCAGGAGGTACCAGGAGGGGGTGGCGGCAAATCCGAGGACTCTGAAGGCCCCGGTGGCCACATTTGTTCCCCTCACCAAGGTGGAGGGTTTTACGGATGTGGGATTCCCAGCCACCCCTTCGCTGGAGCCGGGCCTGACGGCGTTTTTTGGGGTGAGGCAGGCCAACATGATCGCCGGACGGCGCCCTACGTTGGCCTCCCCCAGGGACCAGTATGTTGCCCGCCAGGCCGACCGGGTGCACCAGTGTGCCTTTCAGGCGTCGGCGGCGGCAAACAACATCGCGCTGCTGTCCAACTCGGTGGTGACGCTGGTGGAGCGGTCCACCACCTTGGCCGCTGACGAAGCGGAGGAGATCGCCAAGGCTGCCAGCACGGCGCTCACACTGTGTGCGTCTGTTGCTGTCTCCCAGGCTAGAATCGCCGCGTGGGTGACGCAAATCCAGCGCCACCTCTGGCTGCAGCAGGCGTCCGTTACAGAAACGGCCAGAAAAGTGCTGCTGGATGCTCCAATCAGCCCGGACGGGCTGTTCGGACCCCAGTTCCACGCCATGGTGGAATCCATGAAGGCGGCTGCGGAACAGGCGGACGACATCCGCCAGCACGTCAGCTGGCTCCAGCCTGCTGGGCGGCACCAACACCCGCAGCAGCCGCAGCAGCCGCAGCGTCCAACCCGGCCACAGCGGCAGGCGGAGAGGTACCAACCGCAACCGCGGCGTCAGCGCCCGTCGGCGGCGGCAGGGGCTCCGCCCCGCGTCTCCGCTCCCCCGCCACCCCAGAGACGGAGGGTCTCTCGGCGGTGAGCCAACGGGGAGGGAGGCACTCCCGCTCTGTATCCGCTCCACGTGAGCCTCCAAGAAAACAGAGCCGTTTTTGACGTGTTGGGGGGGATAGAGAAATAAAATGGGTTCATTTTCCAACTTTTTGTCTGAGTCATCAGTATCATCAAGTGTTTCTCACATATCCTCCACTCTGTGTAAACCAGCTGTCTATAACCTATCGGTTAGTAGCCAGCAGGGTTCGTTGCGAAAATCTGCACTTTTTTAATCTATCGGTTAATAAACTGCAGAGTTCGCCAACTAAGCCAGCTGCCACCAATCTGTTGATTAGTAGGCAGCAGGGCTCGCTGCAGAAGCCTGCTGGTTTTAACCTATCGGTTAATAAACCGCAGAGCTCGCGGCATTCCTCTGTCCGAGATACGTCTCCTACACGCGGTCATAATAAACCCATGAGCGCCGTTATAACGCCTCATGTGGTCAACACTGCATACATCTCCATTCATCCCCTGAGCGTCTACACGCCTCATGATGAGAGCCAGAGTGAAACGCAGCGTGTGGAGGCTCCCTCACAGCCCTTTCGCTTCAGGCCCACCTTGGGTTGCCTCACAGGCAGCGGCGGCAAGGGCTCTGACGTGGCTCGTCGCCAAGACGACCACAACACATCTCGACCATGTGCGCCCGCTCTCAGAGAATTTCTCAGAGCGACAGCGCGTGTGTCTGATGGACAGATGGATGAGCAGGCTGATCAGCAGAGGGTACACCCTGCAGTTCGCCTCCCCCCCCCCACAGTTCAATGGGATACAGGAAACACTCCTGTCATCCCAAGAACAGTGTCTTGCGCTCCAAGCAGAGCTGCGGGAACTCCTGTTGAAAGAGGCTATTTCCAGGGTTCCTCAAGGGGAAGAAAATCAGGGGTATTACTCCCGCTATTTTCTTGTCCCGAAAAAGACAGGGGGGATGAGATCCATCCTTGATCTGTCAGTATTCCCATGCTGACGATCAAACAGGTGCTGGAATGTGTTCACCAGGACGACTGGTTCACTTCCACCTGAAGGATGATGCATATACTTCCATACCCACATCCCGAAACACAGGAAATTCCTGCGTTTCTCTTTTTAGGAAATATCAGACCAGACAATCGTCTGCTGTTTGGATGTTCCCTGGCTCCTCGCATTTTGTGTAGAGAAGGCTGGAGCCACTACACAGAGAGGAGGGATGAGAATGAGGTTTTTTCTCTGGACGACCTGCTGGTTGCTAGGTTCGATCCAGCTTGAGGAAGGCGCTTTACAGACGTTACATCTCGTATCGCATCTGTCAAAGCCTGGGTTTCATAATTAATTTGGAGAAAAGCTGCCCTCGTCCCTCTCAGACATTCATTTATCTGGGTGTGGAATTAAACTCAGCCACCAGAGCGCGCTCTTGCGGCAGCGAGTGGAGGAACTGCAGCGAGATCTCCTCCGGCGTGTCTAAAACCCGCACAGCCCTCTCCGTGACGCAGCTGCTTGGCATTCGCATCAGCTGGTCACGCGGTGATCCCCATGGGTCTCCCCCACAGGAGGAGACTCCAGAGGTGGGTCATTCGCTGCAGAAGCCTGCTGTTTTAACCTATTGGGTTATAAACTGCATAGCTCGCGGCATTCCTCTGTCTCAGATATGCCTCCTACAGAGCACGGTCATGACGACCATTACAGCATATCACAGAGAAGCCTCTCCAACGGGGGAGTGAGACCCATCCTTGATCTATCAGTATTCCCATGCTGACGATCAAACAGGTGCTGGAATGTGTTCACCAGGACGACTGGTTCACTTCCACCTGAAGGATGATGCATATACTTCCATATCCACCATCCCGAAACACAGGGAATTCCTGCGTTTCTCTTTCAGGGAATATCAGACCAGACAATCGTCTGCTGTTTGGATGTTCCCTGGCTCCTCGCATCATTTTGTGTAGAGTAGGCTGGAGCCACTACACAGAGAGGAGGGATGAGAATGAGGTTTTTTCTCTGGACGACCTGCTGTTTGAGGTTCGATCCAGCTTGAGGAAGTCGCTTTACAGACGTTACATCTCGTATCGCATCTGTCAAAGCTCAAAGATCCCCATGGGTCTCCCCCACAGGAGGAGACTCCAGAGGTGGGTCATTCGCTGCAGAAAGCCTGCTGTTTTAACCTATTGGTTTATAAACTGCATAGCTCGCTCGAGTTGTCCTCTTCCCCCCCAGACATTCATTTATCTGCGAGTGGAATAAAACTCAGCAACAGAGTGCGGCTCTCGCTGCAGCGAGTGGAGGAACTGACAGCTCCCTATCCAGCGTGTCACATCCCACAGCGTGGTGACAGCCCTCTCCGTGATACAGCTGCTCAGCATGACGTCAGCTGATCACGTGGGGATTCCCCGGGGTCTCCCCCACAGGAGGGGTCTCCAGAGGTGGTTCATTCGCCCACGCACCGACCCCGTGCGTCAGGGGTAAATGTGCTGGAGCTGTTCTCCGGGTTGGGAAGTATTCCAGCACTTCGCCCCGTTGCTGTACAATCAAACATGTGTTGATTCGCCCAGCCAACAGGCCACGGCAGCCTACCTCAATCGCCAGGGAAGACAGCCGTTTATGCTAAACCGGCTTCATGCCTAAGGCTAAGGTCATCACAAACTTTTTTAGGTCAAGAGTAATCACCCTGGCTGGCTTCTTTCCCCCTCCTCAAAGCCAGAGGAATGTTCCTCCTCCACGGCTTTGCACGGAGGAATGTCAGTGGAAGACATTTGCATCTTGGTCTTCTCCCTGTTCATTATTCAATTTTATTTGAGGGATGTCCCATTCCGCTCTGACACACCCTGTGCTGAGTGTCCTGTCAGAGTGAGTGACGTCAGGGATCCAGCTGTGCGCCTCTCTCCTGCCTCGGCACACGGAGAGTGGCCTGTATTTCCCTTTTATGAGAGGGACATCCCCCTTTTTTCCCCCGACACATTTCGTACGGAATGTCTTGTCAGAGTGTGTGATGTTGGGGACCCAGCTGTGCGCTCTTCTGCCTGTCTGCACACAGAGAGCTGCTAATCCCCCTCCTTCTGTCACTGGGCAAAGTGTGACTTTCGTCTCTACTTTCTCACAGCGGACGGGTATGTATTATTCCCAGCCTTCGTCCTCTCATGGTAAATATTCATGTTATGATATATTCCAGGGACTGTGATGCGCCATTCGCATGGCGCAATAGGCTTGGGTTATTATCTGAGCAGGTGTGGTTGTGCTTCTTGTACCGGGGCGACCCAGTGGGGCGCAGACTACATCTTGCTTCGCCCTTAACCCAATAGCGATAGCCTTAGAGGGCGAAGCCATATACGAAATAGAACTGAAGTTACCTACTGTAACTCCAGCTTCTATGAGTATTGGCGTAGCCCTCTAAGTTCTGGGCCCCACTGGCTCCACGAATAGCTGAAGAAAAGGTTTTTGTGTGGGAGCAGATTGTCGGGTCTCCTTCCTATTTATACCGGAAGGGAGCCCGAGGGTGGGGCCCACCTTGCGGGCGGGCGTGGACTACAGATGTTTTCAGTGCTGCGCGGGTGCGCAGGGGGATTAACCAATAGCGATAGCCTTAGAGGGCTACGCCAATACTCATAGAAGCTGGAGTTACAGTAGGTAACTTCAGTTCTCAACTGGCGGGCGGACCTGCTTCGAGTCGCAGATGTGTTTTTTTTTTATTTTGGAAAAAAGTAAAACTTATTTTGAAGGCCCGATTTTCTAACGCTGTGCATGCAGTAGGCGTTGGGCTGGAAGTACCGGAGACCATAAACGGTTTTGAAAACTTCTGTCACGTAGTGATCATCTTCTCAATAAAACATCTTTGCTGATGTTCTTTCGAGTCTTCTGGCCAATCAGAATCAAGATTGTTGCCGGAAGTCCCCACGGAGAATAACTTTGTGGTAGAACTATTCTTTATACATCCATGGGTACAACTTCAGATACAAATGAACACATAATGAAATATGACCCCCGGTTTGATGATTGACAGCTCACAGAACAATGGGGGCTATCTACCCTTACCCACAATTTTAAGTAATTCACACAGACTATCTACTCTTTGCTCTTCTCTCTGTGTGGAGCAGCAAGCTGTCAGAACAAAGTGAAAAACAAACAATGGCATAACATATTATTAATATGTCGGGTAGGAATAGATGTATTTATTTTCTTCTCAGAGTGTACCAGAATGCGTAGTTTATATGTTAGTATTTCTAAATATCTCCTGGGGCAGAATCCCCCCAGACCCCCTGCTGGGGTTGGGTTTTCAGCATGTGGGCCTTTCTATGTTATACAGTTCAGCTTTGATTCCATCATCTCATTAAACCTTTTTTAAAAGCATAATTTAGTTCTGTGAAGGGATATAAGGGATATATGCACTGTACTTCACTTTAATTAATAGTGTATGCTGAAAGGCGTATATATTACAGCACGATTTCTTGTTGAATAGATATGAGTGGTTCAAAATGTCGGGTCGCGATTTATTGACCAAGGAAAAAGTGGGTCCCGAGGCCTGACCAGTTGAGAACCACTGCTCTAGAAGGCCCGGTAGCGATGTGGGGCAAGCCCCTCTCTCTGCTGTCAAAATGAACGTGTACTGTAAGAACGTGTACTGTAAAAACTACACTGCGCGTGCTCAGAGTATTTTTCTATTCAATGTGTGCGGCAAAAAAATAATCACCATAGGGGCACTGTGCTGCCATACCCACCAAACGTCATCTCATAATTCAGAGAGCTGATTGGCTGTAAGTACGTGTGCCGCGAAAAGTTATTTGTTTACGTGTTTAAAAAAGTACCAGAAGCTTATATATACACATCCAAGTTGTTCGTGCCCCACCACTTTTGTACATATAAAAACGCCACTGATCACTGTACATTGCTAATTAGGTTATAAAACATATCAACAAACCATAGCAGTGTGTTTACCTGATGAAGCTGGCAATGTAGACGTTAACAAATGTTGCCATGAGGTACTGGCAGTCGAACCGGTCCATAATGCCACCGTGACCCGGGATCGTGTTGGCAAAATCCTGGAAGAACACACAACAGTACATGTGATCAGACTGCTGCTATGCGTATAATATAAATGGAGCAAAGACAACAGACATTAAAGGGATAGTTGGAGTGTTTTGAAGTAAACAAACGTGTCAGAAATCCCTACTTTGATCTTGAAGGCTCTCTTGAAGCCGCTGGCGAAGAATCCTCCGAAGGGTCCCATGATGGAGGCGAAGGAGGAGAGAGCGATGCTGTGGATCTGGAACGGATACAGACGCACCGTGGTCTGCGGAGACAAGGAACATGTGTCAGACTGAAACAGAGACCAGCAGTTCAATCAAACTAAACTAGTTACTAGTGCTTTGGCTAAAATAGCATCCCCAGGCTTTTAGTATCAAAATCAAACCTGGCGGAGAAAAATATAATGAGGTTGAAACGTATGATAAAAACCTGGTGTTAAACAGGACTTCGGTTCTGTTAATGTGTACTCTAGAAACAACATTTAGATATATTTGAACTTTACTTAATGAGTAACACAGGATCAAAACTAAATAACATAGCTGACACAATTACAACTAGCTGAAACTACAGGCTAGGTCCTGACATAAATGTAATAAGCTTTGAGTTTGCAACATGTAATGTTTGACCTGTTAAGAATAAACGTCTATATTTTTCTATAGCTTCCAAAGTGTTTGAAAGGCTGCTACACAAATACATTATTCTACAAATATTACGGATCCCTCTTGTTTTTTGGCTTACTGGATTTGCAATATAGTGATTTTATTGTTTCATAGTTACATGAATGTTTATATGACTTGTGATGCCAGAAAAGGAAGGACAGATGAAGGTCAGGAGAGTCTTACCCATCCGGTGAAGGACTCCAGGAAGGAGGGCAGGGTGTAGTCCTGCAGCTGGAAAAGCTCCGACGGCTCGCAGTCCACCTGGAACCGGTTGGAGTCGTTGTTGAACTCCACCGGGCAGACGAAGTAACGCCAGCCGGACATCACGTAGGAGAGCAAGTTTCAGTTACTGCATGCTGCCTCTGATTTTTTTATTATAAATATTGTTTCACTGTCAAATGATGACAGACATAACGGGAAGAAAAGCTACAACATGTACAGTGTTTAATAATTCAGAGCTACCATAACAAACTTTATTTAGCCAGGATGTTAGGATTTTAGGCTCATTTTTTCTGTCTACCGATTTTAATGAAGCTTGTTGAAAAGCTGTACCATGTGCCAACAAGGATCTAATTAAAGTGTAATTTTCATTTATATAACGATATTGGGCATTTGTGCTGCATTATCTAACTAAACTATCCTAAGATAGAAAAACACGTTCAAAAACGACAAAACTCAGGATTCTCTATAACTCTTACCATGATGCCGAACACTATGGTGGAGAACAATCCACCGATGAATCCCTCCCATGTCTTCTTAGGGGAAAGCTGCAGAGGACAGTGCATGTGTAGATAGCAGGTTAATACATCACCATGTACCAAACAACACTTTTAAAGTGTCCATGAAATGTGTCAATAAAACACTGACTGCCGATAAGTAAACAAGAACAAGGAGCTAATATTATGGAGAAATACCTAAAATGATGTCATAAAACGTTCATATTCTCTGGAGTGGAGTAACATAACAAGAGTCAATATCCAGACTCCAGACAAAAACTAAGTGATACTTACAAAATTGGGTTTTCATTTACTAGAAACACGTGAGTTTTATTGATGAAACACAGGCTGGACATCTGTTGCTTGCATTAATAGTTCTGAAAATAGGGAAAACAATAATATGCAACCAACCTTGATGAGAGGGGTGCGCCCGAAGAAGAAACCAAACATGTAGGCCATAATGTCGTTACAGATCACACAGGAAATTGGCACAATGAACCTGAGAAGAGAAGAGTTAACATGAGACTCATAAATAAGAGACTTAGAGAAAACAAGTTTTGTAAAACAAGCGGCATGTATTTGGATCTTTCTAGCCATAAACACGGTAAACATAGTAGGTGCAGTTTTTTTTATTGAAATGCAATGAGGCCCAGTGTGAGTATAATATGAAAATGTGAAAAATGTTCAAGTTTATTGAAATGGTAAAACACAGTGTCTTTTTAAAGACAGTAACTTAAGAAACTATTAAGTTGAAGCTTAATCTATGTGAAGATGATAAAGGACTGTTTATTTACCAGATCATCCCCTCAAACAGGTTGTGAATGATGAAGTGAGACTGAGTCACCACGATCAGCAGAGTCACATGAGTCCAACCAAACTGTGGAGACAAAACATCATTAGGAAAATATGTATACAATCATTTGTCTGACAATTAACCCAATTATATTCATGACTAAGGGTCCTTGTTCCAAATATGTATTGATAGATTTGATGGTGGAACAACACCCATAGGGATTACTGTCAGCGGAGACTACACTGAGATGGGATTTAGCTGAAAATGATATTAGCTTGATTAAATTCAAAATGTGTTTGAAGGCAGTGTATCCTATTTAACATTAAGAGCTGTGTTTTTGTAAACCTCAGGCTCCATATTTAATATATATTAATTCATACATTCCACTGACACGGTTTTTCCATTATCAGCAGTGTTTTAGGGCCAAATTAAATCAAATTAAAGAGAAGGGACGCTTAGACGCACCAAAGTTCTATCTGAGCCGTGGCTCAATGACTGTACTCGTGCTCTCAGACGCGCTTGCAGGCGTGCAGAGAGAAAATGGAAAAAGGATAAACTCCATGTCTCCCTAGAAATCCTTCGTGAGTGCCTTTCTCACTACCAGACGGCAGTCAAAGCAGCCAAAACAGAGCACATTTCTCTGTTCATCTCCAAAAACAGCCATAAACCTCAGGTTCTTTTTAATGTCCTCAACTCTATCATTAATCCCTGTGATGTTTCTTCTATTGTCCCATCGACTACTCTGTGATAAGTTTCTTACATTTTTTATTGAAAAAGTATCTGCTCTTAGGCTAGCCCACACTAGTGCTACCCCAGATCCTGCTCCTTTTCTGTGCCCTGCTGTCCTCGACCACTTTGAGCCTGTATCCCTCTCTTCTCTCTCGGATGTAGTCAAGCACCTGCGGCCGACAAACGGCACCTCAGACAGCATTCCCTCTCGCCTTCTCAGAGATGTTTTTGATTCAGTTGGAGCAAGTATTTTATTACTTTTAAACACCTCTCTTAGCTCAGGATGTGTCCCAGCTGCCTTCAAACATGCCGTGGTTAAGCCACTCCTTAAAAAGAAAAATCTCGACCCTTCCATTCTCGCAAATTTTAGGCCCATCTCCCAGCTACCTTTTTTATCAAAAGCCCTGGAGCGAGTAGTCTACGCCCAGCTGCAGTCTTTTTTAACCATCCATGGAATCCATGAAAAGTTTCAGTCTGGCTTCAAACCCATGCACAGCACTGAAACAGCCCTTTTAAGAGTTTTTAATAATCTGCTCCTAGCCGCCGACTCAGGTAGCCCAGCTGTCTTGGTGCTGTTAGACCTGACAGCTGCCTTTGACACTGTGGACCATAGCATCCTGCTGTCACGGCTTGAACAGTCCGCTGGCATCACAGGCTCTGCACTTGCATGGTTCAGGTCCTACCTGACAGACCGTAGCTTCTCGGTACAGCTAGGTGCCTTCTCCTCTGCCAAAGCCCCTCTTACCTGTGGGGTTCCCCAAGGCTCGATTCTGGGCCCCATCCTTTTTCTACTGTACATAGTGCCCCTAGGTTCAATTCTCACAAAACATAATATTCCCTTCCACTGCTACGCCGACGATGTACAGATCTATCTGCCTCTCAAAGCAAATGTCAAACACTCACTACAGCAGTTGATGGACTGCTTAACAGAGATAAAATCCTGCCTGAGCAAAAACGTTCTCAACCTCAACGAGAGCAAGACTGAGGTCATCTTTTTTGGACCCCAACCTCCAGCCTCTCCGGTTGATATTCTGGGCTCTCTCAAAATGAACCTTGGAGTGACCTTCACTAGCACTTTTAAATTCGACAAGCAGGTCAGCACCGTAGTCAAATCCTGCTTTTTTTAAATAAGACTATTGGCCAAAACCAAGTCGTATTTATCTTTTAATGACTTAGAAAGAGTTATTAACGCCTTTGTAACCTCGAGACTGGACTATTGTAACGCTCTGTATGTGGGTATGGACCAGGCCTCAATGAAACGCCTACAACTAGTCCAAAACGCTGCTGCACGTTTGCTGACTGGCCACAAAAAGCGTGACCACATCACCCCTATTCTGGCCTCACTACACTGGCTTCCAGTTCGGTTCAGAATTGATTTTAAAATCCTTTTATTTGTTTTTAAAGCACTAAATGGGCTGGCTCCGGCCTATATAGCTGAACTCCTCCAGCGCAACACCCCAGCCAGAGCTTTAAGGTCTGCTGACCAGCTGCTGCTGGTAGTGCCCAAGACCAGGCTCAAAACCCGAGGGCACCGAGCCTTCGCAGCAGCTGGCCCCAGGCCCCTCCATGTGAGGTCGGCCCAGACCCTAGGGGTTTTTAAATCTAAACTAAAAACACACTTCTTCTCTCTGGCCTTCTAGTTAGAGCGGAGCACGACTCCTGACTTTTCCTTGTGTTTTTTTATTTTTATTTTTTTTAAATATATCTGTTGTAATTTATTGTCTTTTATTGTGATTGTAGTAATGTGTTTTTATTACATGTACAGCACTTTGGCTCGACCAAAAATCGCTTTTAAATGTGCTTTATAAATAAAACTTGATTTGATTTGATTTTTTTTGAAGGGGAGGAGGGTAATGAGAGTAAGGAAAATAAGCAAGATGAAATTGTTTTAAAAAAGGTGGGTATTCTCTGAGATTTGTAAGAAAAAAAATCAGGCATTAACAACAACAAAAATTAATTAATTCCTGCATTGAAAAAAAAGAATTACGTTTTTTTTATTACTTTGTTATTGCTTCACTTGCAAGGTTGGACACCCTTCCACTGGCTGCATAATTTACATTTTTCTTTTTACAAACACTGTAATATCCTTCTCTCTGTGAACATAGAGCCTGGATTAGGACCAAAGATCACAGGATTGATGTGTCTTGTTGATCTAATCCATATCACAGATGTTGTCTTAGATGATTGCTTTCCCTTTGTTTGAACAGGCACTGATTTTTCTGCTTGACACATATTTAATGACTGTATGCCAGACAATTTATTAGAGCAATCTCCAGCCCTCTTCTACACACACTTGAGGGCCTGTATTTCATCTCGCCTCATCAATAACCCAGGAGCCTCCAGGTTGCCACTCACCATGTAGAACTGCAGGCGGTAGTGCTTCTTCACCAAGCTCAGCACAAACATGCAGAAACCTGCAACAACACATGCTGCGTTAAACATGTTGATATAACCTGGTCTGTGAAAGAGAGGGGGGTTAATTAAGTCAGAATTATGTTCATCTCTGTTCCAACTCATCTAAATTTAGCTTGACCTATTTCAGACAAAGCCCTGAGTAAATGTGCAGAGGAGGTTTGTACAAGACTGAGCTTAGAAGAGGATGTTGCATAGAAGAGACGAAAAAGAGCTTTTACTGGGAAGAAGAAGTTAAAGCAGACAGTTTACACCCGAGGAAGAAGGACGCTTCAAGGTTTTAAAATAATCTACATATGATTGCAGATGTATGCATTTTCTGGCACTTCAAGGTGTGGCAAAATGATCATCAAAGCCGGCCCATTCAGTGTGAACATAGAAGGCAAAAGGCAGCGACAATCAAGGTGCTTCCTTCCTCCTCACTTCCTGTTCAGTTGCAGCAGAACTGAATTACCAACTGACAACCTGCAGACAGGAAGTGGGACTTCTTCAGTTTGCACAGAGCCTAAAATAACCCACTTTTAGGGTTATTATGTTCATAAAGGATATTCTAAATGTTGGTATTCAACTCTGGATTAACAGAATTAATTCAGTTTTTCGAGTTGACAAAACTAAGACGTCCGGATACAATATTGACAATTTAATTAGCAAATGACAGTTTAAACAGTAGGTTGATCATTATATATATACTCTATATCCTTTACCATGTGAAAAAGCACTTCTTATCTGCCCACATTAAGTTAAGTGATTTCATTTGATAAAATGTTAAACTGACGCCAAGGACCTTCGCACTGTGGCATATTTAGACAAGGCCTTAATGCAACTATCCAGTAGAAAGTGATCATGTGTGTGGCTGGAGTTTGGTCAAAGTGATAAAAGTGTGAGTGGTACACCACATGTCACTTCCTCTCTGCTTAGCCGGCACAGTTGTACTATGCAAGGACACTTAACTTTCAAAATAGAAAAAACAAGCTATTCCAGAAAAAGGCACAAAGAGTAAGATTTCTTCAACAACAACAAAAAGTTTCGACTCATACACTAATAATCTCTCCTAATCATCACTTGTTACCTACTATGAGGTTAACACTCTGCCTCTGTTTTCTGCCTTTACTCTCATTTTGCTTTTACCTCAATAAAAATGTATTTTCAAAACTGCAATGAATGTCAAATGATTGTAGCTTGTTGCCTTTATGTTGGAACTGCACACTCGTTTATTCATTCTGACAACAATTGATTCTAATTTTAAGAGACTTGGTTCTCAAAAACAATCAGATAACAGGTACATGTATGTAAAACAGAGCTCATTAACAGGGATCAATGATACAAAACATTTAGAAATAAAGAAAAATACATCAAATCATCCTATATCTCTACATGGAAACTTGGAGCCCTCAATCCAAAAATAAAATGGTTCATCAACAGTCAGTGTTTAACATATAAATCAGAAAATCAGTATGACAAAAACATTAAACATATTGTCCACTCATGTTGATAAAGATGGAGTTCATTTAAGTCTTATATGAATGTTGTGCAACAATGTTTATCCAGTCAGACAGATTTTTTCACTTGTGAACTGTCATATTCAAGACTTATTCATTGTCCTCTCCATCAGCTTCTGTTGCCATGTGTTCAGCTGAGCTGCTGATTGGAGGCTCTGCCTCTCTGTTATCCTCAGTTTGAATTTCATTAAGCTGTGAGGACTGACGACCAACACACTTGTGTCTTTTGAAAACAGTACACCATTTAAATCTTTTGTCACAAACACTGCAGCTGTATATTTCCTCTCCTGTGTGGACTCTCATGTGTACCTTTAAACCTCCACTCTGTGAAAAGGATTTCTTACAGACTGAGCAGCTGTATGGTCTCTCTCCTGTGTGGATTCTCATGTGTGCCTTTAAATTTATATTATGTGAAAAAGCTTTCTTACAGACTGAGCAGCTGTATGATTTTTCTCCTGTGTGGATTCTCATGTGTGCCTTTAAATTTATATTATGTGAAAAAGCTTTCTTACAGACTGAGCAGCTGTGTGGTTTCTCTCCTGTGTGGATTTTCATGTGTTTTTTTAAACTTCCACTCTCTGAAAAGGATTTCTTACAGACTGAGCAGCTGTATGGTTTTTCTCCTGTGTGGATTCTCATGTGTACCTTTAAATTTATATTATGTGAAAAAGCTTTCTTACAGACTGAGCAGCTGTGTGGTTTCTCTCCTGTGTGGATTCTCATGTGTTTTTTTAAACTTCCACTCTCTGAACAGGATTTCTTACAGACTGAGCAGCTATATGGTTTTTCTCCTGTGTGGATTCTCATGTGTGCCTTTAAATTTATATTATGTGAAAAAGCTTTCTTACAGACTGAGCAGCTGTGTGGTTTCTCTCCTGTGTGGATTCTCATGTGTTTTTTTAAACTTCCACTCTCTGAAAAGGATTTCTTACAGACTGAGCAGCTGTATGGTTTTTCTCCTGTGTGGACTCTCATGTGTGTCTTTAAATGTATATTATGTAAAAAAGATTTCTTACAGACTGAGCAGCTATATGGTTTCTCTCCTGTGTGGATTCTCATGTGTTTCTTAATATCTCCTTTCTGTGTAAAAGATTTCGTACAAACAGAGCACCCGAATTGTTTCTTTTCAGCACTACGTCGTTGATCACTGACAGATTCATGTCTATTTTTCAGTGAGTTTGAGCCTGACGCAGGTTCTCTGGTCTCTTTCCAATCAGCACTGTCTTCAGTGTCAGGTTCAGAAGAGTCTCCAGTGTCAGGTTCAGAAGAGTCTCCAGTGTCGCCCTCAGTCTTTGGTTGTAAACTGCTCTCTGGATCTGAGTTCCTGGCTGGTTCTGGTCCTCGACAGTCATCTCCATCAGCTTCTGTTTCCATGTGTTCAGTTCGTCTTTGATGAGGCTGTGGGGACTGAGGTTTCTCTTTATCATCTTCACTCTTCACAGGGTCAGGAGTGAACGTGGACTTGGTGATATCAGCCTCCTCCAGCTCCTGAAGCTGCTCTCCCTCCTGACTGATCCTGAGGTCCTTCTGGTCCAGACTGGTGCTCCACGCCTGCTGGTCATGGAGAAGCTCTTCTTTAACCACCACCAGCTGCTGGACGTCTGCAGGGAACAGGAAACACACATAACATGTCTAATTTTGTTGGCTCAATTCACCTTATGTAGCCCAGCCCCTTTCCACTTCCAGTTAAACATTTAAAAGGTTTTTTTTTCTTCTGGTTTAGCACTAGCCGCAATGTAAACAATGAATTGTATTTGGGATCGTTCACAGATACACTACGCCTACAGTATAGAATGAAAATACTCTGTTCCAAATAAAAATCCTGCAATCAAACCTCATTCAAGTAAAAGTATGCAAACATTTTACGGCACCTTCTTATGTAAAAGTAAAGATGGTGCAGTAAAATGTTCTCTGTCAGTGTTTAATTTATGATGTTTCTTGATTATTTTGTATGCTGCATTTTACTGCTGTACATGTTTAAAGTAGCGCTTGTATAAATGATTATAGATGAGGGAACCTGCTAAATATTAAAATATGTGTGTTTTTTATATACAGTACCAGTCAAAAGTTTGGACACACCTTCTCATTCAATGGTTTGTTGATTTTAATTTGTTTCTACTTTGTAGATTAATACTGAAGACATCAAAACTATGAAAGAACACATATGGAATTATTTAGTTAAAGGGGACCTATCATGCAAAATGCACTTTTGTACGTCTTTTATACATGAATATGTGTCCCCGGTGTTCCAGGGAACTCACCAAGTGTCAGAAAACACAACCCTCTCTATTCTCCTCCATACACAAATCTCTAAAAAAGGGGCTGCAACGGATCTGATAAAAACTGATCCAGATTTGAACACTGTCCTGACGACAGGACGGTGGCGCTACGCCTATTGGGCCAACTCCACCAATCAGGAGGAGACAGCCACGGCCATTGCAGTTCGAAAGCGCTGGAGACGCTGTAGTACATATGCCAGGCCTGTAAGTGACACTGTAGTCTGCCACAAAAGCAGCGAAGAAGACTTCCCGCCCATAGTTACCATGGTTAGCCTTCTGTTTATTCTCCGCTGTGGCTTTTTTTCTCCCTCCCCGAGGCAAGCGTTTGCTCCCGCTGCTTTAATTCAATGCAATCCCTCCCCATCGAGGCAAGCACTGTAATTCTCTCCGGTTAGTCCACCAGCAGATGACAAACACCCACCTCTCCGCCTCTTCCAAGGAACGAGGGGACCGTGCGGCAGAGTTTCAGTTTCAGTTTGTTTCGCCGGTCAAGATGTCCGTTAAAGTTTAAATCTTCCGGACAAAATTTGAAAAGTGCCGGTCAAAGGTCTTCTTTGTTATTTATTGAGCTTTAAAACAAATGAATAACGACTCTATATAATAAAACACGGAGGACGGAGATCTCTTTTTCTCCCCCTCTTCTGACAGCCCAGCAGCTGATCAGAGCATGTCTCCCCTCTCCTGCAGGGGGGCGTGGTCAGCAGAATCAGACCCGTAGACAGCAAACAGCACATAGAGCGAAATGAGGCATGGCTAAAATGCATGATCTGTTTGGTATTTTGAAAACAGAAACGTATAAATATACCTTATATAGGTATGGCCCTACAATATATCATTTAAATATAGCATGATAGGTCCACTTTAACAAAAAAGTGTTAAAAAAAATCAAGAATATGATTTTAATTCTAGATTCTTCAAAGTAGCCCCCTTCTGCCTTGATGACAGCTTTGCACACTCTTAGCTTCTCTCAGTTTGCTTCATGAGGTCGTCACCTGGAATGGTTTTCAATTAACACGTGTGCCTTGTCAAGACTCAATTTGTGGAATTACTTGCCTTCTTAACCTGTTAAGCCCGAGAGACCCCGGCACCGGGGCACTGCCGCAACATCTTGCAGGAAACAGTGTCTGAGGGCATGTTCATTTAATAAACTATGAATGTTTTATATCCATGTAACGAGAAGAAACTCATTTAACTGATCATTTTTTTTTTTTTTTCAAAAGAAAACCCACAATGCTAACACTGAGCCTCTGAATTAGCAATGAGCGAAAAATGCTAACACCTTACTGCACCGGAAATCACTCACAAAACCTTATTATTTATCTCTTCTCTACATCCATGACATCGTTTCACATCGTGAGGTGACACAGAATCGATGGACACCCACATTATCACTGAATTATACGAATTTGCGACGTTATAAGCAAAAACGGACATCAAAACAGGTGACGCTAGGTAGCTAAAAATGCTAACATTTTTACCTTGGCTCTGTAGTCTCTCCAAAGTGGTCTTCAATGGCATTAAAACGATAAAAACGCTGCTGAAGTTAATCCATAGGTTAATCTAATGTGTCTGTGTCCCTTTGAAATGATTTCTGATAATCCATAAGCATTAAAACTGCTTTTCCGTTTCCAGATGTCAAAGCTAGAGATAGGTTCACTCTGATGCTAAATTACATGCGCAAAGCCCCCACCTTTTCGTTTCACAACGAGTGTGTGTGGGGGCATCCCCCTTCGATTCTATTGGCTCTAATGGTCAGAAAGAGGTGTCAACCATCAAAATCGACCAAGGGGGGCCAGAGATATGGAAAATCCACCCAAATGACCCCAGAAGTGGTTTCTTTTTGCTAAATCTCTCTAAAAATGTCAAATGTCACTTGTTTTGCATCGATCTTGATACAGGGTACTTATTATATGTTGTACTTTGGATTCCTAAAGCTTTTAGTCTACCTTACCATCATCCAAGGGTAGTTTTCACTATAAGTAAAAAATAATTTTTGGACGGACTATATTGATTCTGACTTTTCTACATCCAACTCACAGTTTTATCATAACTTTGAGAAAAAACATTATTAATTTAACCCTTTTAGAAGGGAAGATATGGTCATTTGTTCTGGGAATGTCATTTTCGAGCCTGAGACCTAAAAAACAGGCTCAGGGCTTAACAGGTTAATGTGTTTGAGACCATCAGTTGTGTTTTGCAGAGGTAGAGTTAGTGCACAGTGGAAATCCCTATTTGACTGCTGTTGTAATCCATATTATGGCAAGAACCACTCAACTCAGTAAAGAGAAACGGCCGTCCATCATCACTTTAAGAAATGAAGGCCAGTCGATCCGGAAAATTTCAAGAACTTTGAATGAATCCTCAAGTGCAGTCGCAAAAACCAACGAACGCTATGATGAAACTGGCTCTCATGAGGAACCCCCCGGGAAAGGAAGAGCAAGAGTTACCTCTGCTGCAGAGGATAAATACACAAGAGTTACCAGCCTCAGAAACCGCAAATGAAAGCACCTCAGATTAGAGCCCACATAAATTATAGACAATTCCATGTGTTCTTTTATAGTTTTGATGTCTTCAGTATACATCTACAATGTAGAACCAATTAAAATAAATAAAAAACTTATAATGAGAAGATTTGTCCAAACTTTTGACTGCGTCTAATACTAGTGTATATCTCTCCCAAAATATATATTCTGTGTATATATATATATATATATATATTTTGTTAGGGAATAATTTGCTTAGGTATTCAACCTTCGACAAAGTTCCTCGTTTTCTCTTCTCACTGTCTCTTTTCCCATGGCATAGTTCTACGGCCTTGGGTATTGCTGCTATCTCTCTTAAGGAGGGGCAGCTTGGGCGCATTGTTGTTGCCATTTTATTACCGAGCACAAGCTGACATGAGATAGTTTATTGTTCAGGGACATCTAGAGGCCCTTCTTTTATTTGGAACGTAGGTTCCCTGCTGCACATTCTTTTCTATGGACGACAGCTCTAGTTAGATTCAGGGTCCATATTTGTTTAGTCTCGCTGATAAAGAATGTTGATTATTACACTCTGAACTAGTTAAGGGATGGGCAACTTGGATGGTGGTGGGGGCCACATAATGTATGTACTGGCCACCAGGGGCCCGCAGATTCACTTGGAACACACACACACAAATTCCATGTATTGTATGGGGGCAGGAGCTCCAACAAGCCGTTTAGGACAGAGAGTGAATACACATACTATACAGAGATGCTATATGAGAAACCAATGTGAGTTTGGAAAATTGCACAATATAAATCTATTCTAGTATACCTCAACAATGGAATTATGATCAGTAGAAATGGCCATGACATGGGACCTTTAAATAAGATATGAATGCAGTACTTTAACTTGTAATGGAGTATTTTCAGTGTGGTGTTTGTACTTTTACTTCAGGATCAGCGTCGTTGTAGACGGTGCTGATAAAGGGTATAAAGTGATAGTACAGAGTGTAGGTGCCATAATGCTACTTAGCCCAAGTTCATTATTTGTATTATTATTTGTTTACATCACTTTTATTTGTTTGTTGAGCACTTCCGGTAAGTGTCACATGGGTGTGGTTTGTGTATTTAAGTCACCTGTTTCATGTCGAGTGCGGATGACAGAGGGTGAGCTTGTGCTGTCATTTTTTCTGTTGACCGTTTTGTCCATGTTATGATTTTGTTTATTAAATATCCCAAAAACTATCTTGCTTCACTATGGACTTTCTCTTCGAAAACGCATCACAGTTTATAGCCAAGTTTAGCCTCTCGGCGACTCAAACGCAACTGGGGATTGAGCCGCCACATTAAGTCAACAGAAAAAACGGTGATTCGCATC